ACACAGGGGAGCACTAGCCGGAACTGAGGGTGTGAGGACACAGGGGAGCACCAGCCTGGCATTTGTGACGTCCTGGATCCAAGCCCCAGCATCTCACATACACACAGTTAATAAGCACATAAGTAAATGCCAACCCACACAGATACTTGGAGTCAGGCACTTCTAACTTGGGTGATTAGAGGGTGAGAGATAATAAGCACACTCTACAGTCGCTAGGGCTTAAATCTGGTCTTTGCTGAGTGACTTCAGGCCAATTTGTTAACATTTTTCCGCCCCATTATCTATATGAGCTTGACAGTAATTCCTGTATCATAGACTTTTTTTTCAACAATGCATTTTTATTTTATCAATTTAAGATTATTTTTTCCAATTAGACTTGCTCCAAGGTTTCTGTAAAATAAGAAATATGTACTAAATGTGTGCACAAAGACTCATGTCTGGGTAGGCCTCAGTACGGGAGGTTCCCCTAGAAAGTACTAAGGAAGAGTCCCCAGTTTAGTCATTCGCTTCCCACTGGTGTGACAGCTGCAGTCAGTTAGGTACCTGCTGTTCTCCCGTCCTATGCTTGTTGTCCTGCCTAGGGCTTCATACCTGGTGACCCTCTCTGAGAAAGATGTGAATACGAAAAGGGTTAATTTGATGAGGCACACATAAAAGTGAAATGTCAGCCTTGGTCTCCCTACTTGGGCATTTGCAGTTCCTATTGTGGTCTATGGTGTAGAAATAAGAGAGAAGCCTTCAGCATCTTGGCCACCTCCTCTGCCTTCCCACTTCCTGAGAAACCATCCTTCAAGGTCAAACTGCTGCTGACCATTTAGCGTGAGCCAGTCCCTGCAGCCCCGAAGCAGAGCTGTTGGACTGGTCCAGTCACCAAGCTGCAGAAGGATTTACGCAGTTGAAATCTGACCTTGCCAAGTTCCCACTGTAAGTAGAGATCATTCTTCCTCCGAACCCAACCGAAAGCATACCCACCAGAAACCAACAGAGTAAGAACAAGTCCCCACGAACACCAAGTGGAGGGCAGCAAGCGGAGAAGCTGGTACACCGGAAAGAACCTCCCTGTCCCAGACTGAGGAATGACCTTTCAGGTCTGACAGGCTGGATGGATCTTCACTAGTCTTGTATGTTAAACTGGCCAAAAGAAGGATGGGGCTAAGCCATTGCCAGTTTGGGGGAGATACTGGGACGACTTTAAAGAGAACGTGATGCAAAGAGTCCTCAGAGATGACCTCGGTCCTCAAGAGTAGACTGATGACCGATCAGATCACACCCAAACACTCCCAAGAAACCACTGAGGGACAAGCAATAAGACAGCCAAGCTCCCCCTTGGAGCTCAAATCAAGGAAGGCTAAGATATAGGATCAATCTATCTCCTCCCGAAGATGCTTGTTACCTTCCTGCCACAGTCATTCTCCCAAATGGGAGGCTGTGCCCTGGTGGAGCTCACAGCTGTGCAAAGAGAAGAGGGTGGGAAAGGGAGTTGGAGTTTCTGTCCCAGGGACCTTGGTCCCCTGCGGCTCTCTTCTCTACCAGCACTAGAGGGCACATTGGCAGTCCACCTTCTTGGAGGACTTAGATTAGGACACAAAGGAAACACCTACAGCCTTTACGTTGGAGCTGGGATATGTTTGCTCTAGAGAAGTGGAGCGATCAAACTTCTTCGTTGCAATGTGCCAGGGTGACTGGGCTACTTTTTGTAAGTGTGATGTCTTCGGGAGCGTCCTGGCTCCCGATTCCTTGGGCTTTTTGATTTTGTACCAATACAGAAGGAAGGTGTTTGTGATCTGATAGAATCTCTCCCCACAGAACCCGGCACAGTTGGAGAGGCCATCCCAAAGTCAAGACTGCTACCTGCCTTAATAGCTCCGGGTAGAGGTGTACTCTGAGCCAAAGGGACCAGAGAGGAGGCCCCAGACGTGGTCTTTCTAGCAGTGATACTAGCCAAAGGTGTGATCTGGCTTGGAAGGCCCTGCACGCTCTGGTTCCAGCACTGCACAAAGGGTACTAGGGTGCTTGGGGTCTCAGTCTGTCTTGCACCAGACATGCCTCTTTGTGGAACAGCCACAATGACCTCAGGCTCCCCACAGTCCATAGGGGTCACTAATCCTCCAAATGCAAAAGGCTTCGGGGCTGTGCTGCCAAATGCTGAGCAGTAGGCTCCACTCTGGTAGTTCTGTCTAACAACCTCAAAAGTAGCTGAGCTAGCTTCACTGAGTGGAAAACCAGCTAGCATGCTGCTGAAACCTGACTGGATGCTGGCAGGGGTGTGGATAATGGAGGCTGAAGATATCAACCCCCCAGAAACTGGTGGTATAGTCTTGCTGAGAACCATTTGAGCAGGGGATGGCATCTGGGTTGAGGACACAACTGCGTTCCCTGAAAGGAAAGAGGTACTAAAGCTTGGGACAGGAGCTAGCTGGAGGGAACATTGCTTCTGGTTATCTGTGGCCCCGGGTGAAGACTGGGAAGCACTTTTTTGGGATGATGGTAAAGGTGATTTGGGGCTTGACCTCGAGGATGTTGTGAGTGCTGAAGTCACACTGGAGATGCTGGAGGTCACTGTAGGCTGGTTAATGGATGATAAGCCTAAAGCTGGCAGAGGTCCACTCACCCCCTTCGGTTTAGTGGTGCTTCTAAGAGGGGATATCTGGATGGCACTAGTAAGGACCTGGCTAAAGATGGTGACCGTGTGTACGGTAGAAATTGCAGGGTGCTGGCTTGGGAAAATTAAATTGCTGGCTGGAGGAAAGCTCTGGGAAGCCCCAAGCAGGAAAGCCTGGCAAGAAGGGACAGAATAAGAATTGCTCGTGGTGCTAGTTACTATATTCCAGTCCACACCAGGATCTTTGGATGTGCTGACTGGGATGGCAGATGTAACCAGAGAGGAGGTTGTGGCTAGGCCATGGAAGAAATAGGTAGAAGCAGAAGTCAGTGAAGGAGAGGCCTGATTGGCAGACACAGGAGCTGTCATGGGCACGGTTGTCAGTGGTTCTACACTGCCAAAGATTGGCTTGAAGGTGGACGTTAAGATGCTTGGAGCCGTGGAAAAAGAAGAGCTTGATGTTGCCCCCCCAGCCATGACAGAAATTCTGGAACATGAGGAGTCTCTAACCTCACTACTGTACACAGGCCCCCAAACGGATCTTAATGCGGAGTGAGCAGAAGTCTCCACAGGAAGTACAGATGCAGGAAGATGGAGAATTGGGCTACTCACCACCCCAAGCAGAGTGTTTTGTGTGGTAGGTGCAGTGGGGATCATGACAGATGGGTGTGGGGGCGCTGCAGACCTGGGAGCCTGAGGGGTTGAAGATGGCCAGTTGGAATCAGGGACTGGTGCTGTGGGAGAGCTTGGAGATACCCGGATGGAAGCAGTTGAGGGTTTTGAGTCTGAAGAGATGCCTTGGAGGTGCTCTAACTGTGAGCACCCTAGTGGGACAAGCATGTTCTTCGAGCTTTCCAGCTGAGGACTCCTGTGGGTACTGAGTGCTGTCTCAGAAGAAGGCCGACGAAGAGACTCGGGAGGCTCAGTACCATCCCAGGTCTCAGGAATGGAGTCTGTGACGATCCCAGTTGTAGCTTCTGTGGTTGGTTTGCTTGGCCCAGCCTGCCTTTCTGAGGTCGGGTCCTCTTCAGTGACAACACAGCCTTGCTGGCAAGGCGTGGTCAGTGGATCCCTAGGAACAGATTGCAGGCAAGGACTCTCCCTGTTGGGCTGCCCAGAGCTGCCGGGTGTAACTAACGGGTGAGGATTAGGATTTCTCTCTGTCTTTTTGAGGGGCCATTCTGGAGTTTGGATTGATGTCCTGGAAAAATGTCTTTTCCAAGACTCTGAGAGATATCTGGAAGAGCTGTAAGAGCTGCTAATAGCATTTCTTTTAGTGCTGGGGGGCCCATGTGTGCGTTCGCTGGCCAAGAGCGCCACGGAGGAGCAACTGGACTTCTTACGTTTATGATCTGAGCTCTGGGCGGGGAGGCTCCTTTTCAGAGATCCAGGCCTGGCCACAAATGAAACTGTGGCTCCGTTTTTCAACAGGGGCTTAAAGGCGGACCAAGGGGTGGCAGAATTTCTATTACTGTCCGAGCTGTCAGGGAACAGTGGCTCTTCCCTCCTGGCTCTCCCCTTCTTGCACTTGAAGAGGGCCTTCAGCACCGGGCTTTTTCCACACTCTCCCGATGACTCCTCTGAGGGTCCCGCGGAGTTGATCACTTTTGAAACCGAGAACAAGGGCCGTGGTCTCCGCTCAGGAGGTGAGATCTTGACTGTCACCGGACTCCATGTGGCCCTAGGGTGACGAAGGGACCAAATGTTACGTTTGAGGTAACTTTCCCACCAGTCTGAAGGAAGAGACCCCATGATGGGGTTCTGCGGCCTCTTCATGGGAAAGCGTCTCCAGGCCTCACTGACGAAGGCGGCGGGATTGGCGGGATCCCAGTTTGGCGGCCTCCGGGCCGGCCTGTGCCGCCGGGCGGGCTGGGCACGATGGACATGCTGCACCCGGTGGACCTGGTAGAGGGGCCTAGCCGGTCGGCGGGTCGCAGGCTTCTCTCGTGAGTCTGCGCGCCCCTGTGCTGGGGGCCGCGGCGAGGACCCCGCTTTGCCCAGGTAGCTGCCCATGCGGAGAACCGGGTGGGCGGGCTGTCAGTTCCAGCCCGGTTTCGCTTCTGATGTTTCGGACGTCGGCGGACGTGGCCGAATCCAAGCATCCGCTACTCGAGTGACGGTTGGGCTACGCGTGTAAGAAAAGCGCGAGGGTGCCAGGGAGCTGGCGACACGCGGACCTCGGGAACCGTGTCAGCCCACCCGGGGATCTGCGGTCTGCGCGCCGCACTGGTCGTCTCCAGTGCGACGTGGGCAGAGCTCAACGAGGCTCGGTGTCCAGCATCCTGCCAGGACCGGGCCTTGGACCTGGACGCGCATCCGTCCGTGCCAGTTCTCCAAACTCTGAGCTGGAAGATTTGGGTGATTTGAATCCTACATCCTCTGAGCTGCGTGATTTGAATCCTACAGAGTATTGGGGGGAGGACAGGGGTGGGTGGGTGGAGAGATCGAGAGTGCACGCGACACAATGGCACTGATGGAAATGTCCAGGCACAGGACATTGTGAGCTGTTAATGGGAAAGGCAACAGCCGACCTTTCTGACCCAGGTAAGATCTCTGGGTTCCATCAGCGCCTCCTGGTGGCCAAACCCAGGCTCGTACTTGAAGTGGAAGCGGCCAAGGTTTGTAACCTTGATGATAAGCTGAACCCTGGCGGGAAAGAGACTACTTGGAAGACACTTGGTGCTCCTCTTCACTATCAAACCTTTATTCACTTTCAGAATTCGTGTGTTGAATTGGGAAAAAATACCGAAAGTTTTGCTCTACCTTCCTGTACTGGCTGATGGTATCGACTTGGCATCAAAGAACTCTGCCAGGCCAGGTGTGAGCTGGAATCTTACATTTCACCAAAAAACAAAATAAAACAAAACAAAACAAACAAAAACGAACTAACGAACCAAAACTCACACATACACAGTATGCGGGAGCAGCTCAGGAGGTTGTAGGAGAATGTTGCTGTCGTTAAAAGGTTGGGGGGAAACAACAGTTAAAAACTGGAAAAACTCAAAGTAGTGATTTTTAGGGCTGGTTAAAATACAGTGTCCCGGGACTTTGTGCAAAAGCGAACATAGCAGAGGATGGTTTCGATCCATCGACCTCTGGGTTATGGGCCCAGCACGCTTCCGCTGCGCCACTCTGCTTCCACATTTACACCGTTTCAATTTCACTCTCTAATGGTGAACATCGCTTTTCTCACGTTCGGTTTTCATTTCTGATTGTTTTTTTCTGACTCTCACCACCACACTAACCCAAGCCCAGGCCTCTTCCCGGTCTGTGCGCCGAGTACGGACTCACGCGGCCTTCTCACTGGTTTCCACACAAGTCTTATAGGCGATCGTTGTGGTTTAAAAAAAGTTTTCATTTGGTTTCACCGGCACAGGGTTCACAGAGTTTCCAAAAACCACGGATTCCCGATCCAAATGGGTACGTGGTTAGGGCAATTTCTATCGAATTCCGTGTGAGATAGTTCTAATAAAGATAAAGAAAAGGAAAAAAAAGGTAACAAGCTAAAATAGCCCTACCTCTTGCTTCGGCTTCTGTCGGGGGCCTGGGCTTTCAGGAAGGCTGTGGACAAAAGTCCTTGCATGAATCCAGCCTCGCATTTCCAAAAACGAACAAACCTTAGTCTCTAGCGGTGGAAGACAGCCTGGTGCCATGTTTTATTTCATTTTATTTTTATTATTTTATTTTTTTCTACGGTGCTTCTCCGGATTCACAAGAAAATCAGCAGGCAGAAGAAAACAGCAAGAAGTCCTCTAACTCCGCCCCGCGAGGCCGCCCCACTTCGGGGAACGAGCGCCCCCTAGCGGACTCAAATGCACTGATCTTTTTGTTGCCTACTTGAGGCTCTCCAGTCTCCTGGAGCCTCCCGGCCTTCTTGCAGTTAGGACAGCTGATCTTTCTCTCTGCGAAGATTTCCTCAAGCCAACACTAGACAGCATATGCTTAAATTCTGACTGTAACTTGGGAGGAAGAGACCAGAGACAGCGAATCATGCATACAGGCAGGCAGGCAGGCAGGCAGGCAGTGTCTCTGGAGTTGTTCTGAACCCAAAGATAGTAAGGTTTCGTTATATCATCTGACCTTCTATCCTCTCATCTCTGACATCATAAGAGAATTCCTTTTTTTAAAAAAATATATATTATGTATACAACATTCTGCCTCCATGTATGCCCACACGCCAGAGGAGGGCGCCAGGATCTCATTACAGATGGTTATGAGCCACCATAATTGAATTGAACTCAGGACCTCTGGAAGAGCAGTCAGTGCTCTTAACCACTGAACCTTCTCTCCAGCCCCCAAGAGAATTCTTTAAATTTAGTTACACAGAGGTAAATCTGGGAACTGAAGATGGTTAACAGTTAGCTGACTAACTTTAACCAGTATTTAACCACTACTTTTAACCAGTACTGCTTTAACCAGTAGTTTTAACCATTGCTTGTCTAGAGGTCGTTAGTTCAATTCCCAGCAACCACATGGTGGCTCACAACCATTTATAATTGGTCTGATGTTCTCTTCAGGTGTGCAGGTGTGTCTACAAAGTACTCATATACATAAATGAACGTATTGTCAAACTTTTCTGACTGCATCCCAGAGTCAGAAAGACATTAAATCACATTACACAAATATTTATCTCCATGTATATTTGTGAAACAGCGATGTCAAACCCACCAAGTAATATTTGCCTTTAAATATTTCTTTATAATTTATGTATTTGAGTATTGCCCTGCATGTATGTATATTCATCATATGCATGCCTGGTGCCGGTGAAGGGCCGAAGAGGGTTTTTGATCTCTCAAAACTTGAGTTACAGGAAGTTGTGAACCACTATGTGGGTGGTGGAAACCAAAAGCTGTTATGACAAATAAGCCAACTCTCCAGCCTTCCTCCACCAAGTAATATTTTACTAATGAAGTTTACTCTCTTTCCTATTATTATTCTGTTCCGTTTCATTCATTTCATTAGTAACATATCAGTCATGAAGGTTGGCGAGATGGCTCTGCTGTAAAGACATTTGCTGCTCTTGCCAAAAGATACCGGTTGGGTAGCTGGACCTCTGAGAGTCAGATGATTCATGAAACATGCTAACCTCCCCAAAACGAAAGGGCCAGTCATTAGGGATAGGGCTGCATTCAGGCTTTGTTAATTCCCTCAGAGATTCCTAATATAGTTTTTAAAAATGTTTTTGTTGCTGGGCAGTGGTGGTGCACGCCTTTAATTCCAGCACTCGGGAGGCAGAGGCAGGCTGATCTCGAGGCCAGCCTGGTCTACACGAGCTAGTTCCAGGACAGGTACCAAAACCTACGGAGAAACCCTGTGTCGAAAATCCAAAAAGAAAAAAAAAAGTATTACCTCCTATTTTATGTGTATGGATGTTTTGCCTGCATGTATGGATGTGAACTTTCTATAAGCCTGGTGCCCTCAGAGCTCGGAAGATGGCGCCAGATCTCCTAAAACTGGAGTTTCCTATGAGCCGTGGTATAGGAAACTCAAGTTCTTTGGGAATTGACATCCTTTTATGACCTCTATGGCACCAGGCACACATGTAGTATGCAGACAAACACTCTTAGACACAAAATTCAAATAAATATTTCTTTAAAAAAGAAATTATCAAATATTTTCCAAAATGCCTATACCATTTTACATTTTTATCAGTAATATATGAGAGACCTGAGTCTCTGCATTTTTGCCAGCCTAGCATTATTATTTTATTCTTACTTGATTAGTGTGTAAAGACAAAACATCATGATCTTATGGACATTTCCCAAACTGTTAATGACCTCTTCTGATTTCCGTTGTGTATCCTCATCAATGAGTCTTTTGCCCAGCTGGATCATTGTTTCAACAGTGAGAATTCCTTGTGTGAGCTCACTGAGTCCATTGTCACATATGTGGTTTGCCATTCTTTCTCCAAATCTGTAGCCTGTCTTTTGATCTGCCTAACAAAGTCTTTCTAGAACAAATTTTTAATTTCGATGAACCACAATTATTTATTTTTCATTTATGGGTTGTGCTTTTGATGTTAAGCCTAAGAATTTTTTACATTGTAAAAACACTCTTCTTTGGTTTTTGCTTTTTCTCCTAAATTTTTTTATAATTTTGTATTTTGCTTTAAACTTATGATCCATTTTGAGTTTTTAAAACAACAGTCTACCTGGTCGGCGGTGGTGCATATCTTAAATCCCAGCACTTGGGAGGCAGAAGCTGGCATATCTCTGTGAAAAGTGAGTTCTGTCTTAACACATACACACAAACCCAAACAGAAAAAAAAACAACAACAAAGTTTAAAATTTAGGTAAATATTTTCTTCAGCATCATTGTTTTCTTAATTTATTTTTTTAAATTAATTAAGTTATCACACAAAATAATGTGTTCCATTATGACATTTTCTCGTGTGTGTGTGTGAGTGAGTGTGTGTGTGTGTGTGTGTATACTTTCTTATCCACTGTGAAGAGACACCATGATTAAGGCAACTTATAAAGAAAGCATTTAATTAGGGGCTTGCTTACAGTTTGAGAGGGAGAGTCTCTGACCATCACGGCAGAGAGCATGGCAGTGAGCAGGCAGGTATGGCAGTGAGCAGGCAGGTATGGCAGTGGGCACTATCTAACAGCTTACATCCTGATCCTCAAGACGGAGGCAAACAGAGACAGGACCTGGTGTGGCCTTTCTGAAACCTCAAAACCCACTGCTAGTGACACATTTTCTAATCCTTCCCACCACAATATATATCATTGCATGTTTTCTAACTCACTCCTCACCCCATCCCCCACACTTTACCTTTGAATCCTCCCCGAACCACTCTTGTCTAGCATCATTTAAAGGAGAAGACAAGGGGCTGGAGAAATGGTTCAGTGCTTAAGAGTACTAATTACTCTTACAGAAGACTCAAGCTTCGTTCCCCTGTACCCATAAGGTAACTCACAACCACTCATAACTCTAGGGGATCCAACATCCTCTTCTGACCTCTGTAGATACCAGACATACATGTGGTACACATACATACATGTAGACAAAGACTTATACATATAAAATAAATTTTAAAAATTTAAAAAACAAAATTCATCCTTGATCTTTGATTTGGCTGAACATAGTCATCCTTGGGGG